TTATTCTGTCGCGCTGGGGCCTAGCAGGTGGCAGCTGTGGAATTGATTGTGACCCACGGTGACCCCACGTGAGCAGAGTGCAACTGCTGCATTGGGTACTCAGGGCTGGGACCTTTCTAAGCCTGTCTCCCCAGGTAGCAGTGGGTGGATTTGAACTGGCAATCTTCAGTTAATAGTTGAGTGCTTAATGATTTGCACTACCCAGGGGCTCCCCCATAGAGTCTTTTTTTTTTTTTAATTTTTGATTGTGATTTGGGTTGACACTTTACACAGTAAATTGGTTTTCCAGGGAACAGTTAGTATACGTTTTGTTTCAGGACATTGGTTGTCATCCCAGCGTCACAGCCGTCTTCCCACTTCCTCCCTGTGGTTACCTTTCCCCTGTGTCCTCTTCTGTCTGCATTTCTGTCTTCTGAACTTTCTCCCCGGGCAAACACTGCCCTTTTGATCTCCTGGGGTTGATTGTGGACCTCCCTGGCATGACTGTTCACCTTGCAGGCCTGTCTACTGCTTGGCTGAAAGGTGAACTGCAGGGGTAAGTTCGGTTCCAGGCCTGCAGGGTGACTAAGGGCCATACTCTTGGGGGTTCCACCAGTCTCCATCAGAGCAGTAAGCCTGGTCTTTTTTTCATTATTATTTTGAGCTTTGTTCCGTATTTTTCTCCTCCTCTGTCTAGGACCTTCTCCTGTGGTTCTGATCAGAGCAGCTGGTGGTGGTAGCCGGGCACCGTCTAGTTCTTGTGGTCTCAGGGTTGAGGAGGCTGAGGTTCACGTGGTCCACGGTCCTCTGGCGACTGTTTCCGTACATCTTTGGTTTTCTTCACTCTGCTTTGCTTTGCTCTTCTGTTTGCTCCTTAAATGGCCTCTCACAAGCTTTTAAGGCCCAGTCACTGCTCACCACAGTAGGATGAAGAACACTGTCATTGAGGACTGTGCTGAGTTAGCTGTCCCCTGAGACAGTGGTCCTAAGCCCACGAGCCCAGTGGTTTACTATCTCAAGGTGTTCGGCTGTGGCTAAGAAGGTTTCATCATTTTGCCTCCTAAATTGCTCTACTATATTCAGGGATATACTTACAGCAAAAACAAACATGTATGTACACACATCCCCTGCCAAAGCTCGATCTGATCGTGGGTGTAGCCCCGTTCACCTACCCATACCTGTTCAGCTGGTCTGTCTGCCTGCATATCCACATGCCAGTTGTGTTGATATCACTGATACGGCAGGACTAGGGATGTCATCATGTTTACTTTTGTTGTGTAACTCAGTGCACCTCTCATGTCTTCTTTTGCCCATCATCCCCTTAGTGTACACTGCCCTTCCCCTCCCCTAAATAATGCATGTCTCTGACCTAGTTAGGAATTTTCCCTCCCCTCTCTTGTAACCATCAATGACTGTTTCTGTGTAGAAATCTTGCCTTGACGTTTGATAATAGTGGACTCATGCAGTGTTTGTCCTTTCATGATTAACTTATTTCACTTGGCCTAATGTCTACCGGGTTCCTATACGTTGTGAGGTGTTTTGTGGAGTCTTCATCTTCATTGTTGCGTAGAATTCCCTTGTGTGTATGGCCCATAGTTTGGTTGTATCTCCACAGAGCTTTAAAATCCCAGAAAACAAATCC